TGTGAGAGGTCATGTGCCGGGAAAGGTGGTGCCGCTCCCTGAAAGTCTCATTACAGATTGGACACTTTAACTTTTCTTCTCTCCTTCTTTTAACAAGAGGTTCCATGGCATACTCCTTTTTGTGGTGCGAGCGCATGTGGTAGACCAGGTCAGAGGTCATGCGGAAGGAGGCGTTGCATTTGGCACACCAGTTCTGGGCAGGCAGACAAAGTGAAGTAAACGAAGGGGGCAGAAGCGTGAGAGCAGAGGGCATTTGCAGCTGGATGGGGCCTGAGGTCTTGGGCCAGTAGGCTGTGGCGTATAGGAAAGGGTTCTGTTTTGCAATGCCACCCGGCACAGGACAGTTGCTGCCTAGTTCTGAGCCTTGGAGCTTTGCGGCGAGGTGGTCTGCCTGGTAGAGTCTATTGGAAGAGACGGTGTCGCCCACCGCAGGATGGCAGTCTACTGCCGGCAGAAGCTTGGGTGCCATGACAAGAGGTGATAGCTGCGAGAAGGTGCGAGACGGCTGGCTAAAGGCACTCTTTCTCTCTGAGCCTACACCACCCTGCTGGGGCACCGAAGTGAAAGCGCTGCCAATTGACGAGGTCTCCATTCGGGACTGTGGGGGCTGAGTCTCGCTGAGAACCTGTCTGATGTTGAGGTGCTTTTCAGCCGGATTGCTGCTGGACCGGCCAGCCTCCTTGTTCTCCGAGTTGGAGCTGGAGTTTTTACCGCTGTGCTTCAAGCTCTGAGGTGACTTCTTGACCTCTGTGAAGGCACTCCTCTTGGTTTCCGTCGACTCTGAAACAGAGGGCGAGAAAGCCCGCCTGCTCTCATCCAGACCGTATGCTCCACGGTACTGCTGCGCCGAGTTGGCCAACTCCTCTTTGGACTTGGGAGGCTGAGATAATCCACTGTTCCTGCTGTCCTCCATGTCAGAAAACCTGCGCTTTCCAGAGTTCTCACTCAGGATTTCGGCCTCTTTGTCGCTTGGCGGACTGGTTCTGTTATTCTCCAAATCCCTGGCTAGATTATGGAAGTCTGTGGATGGCTTTCCTTCCTGTGGATTGGAGAAGCCATCAGATCGGCCCAGTTTGGGACTGGACCTGGCAGGAGGTAGACTAGCCTGGTCACTGGCATCAGTGGCCTCCTCCTCTGGGCTGGCCATGCTTTGTAGTCTCTTAGTACAGCGGAATCTTAGATGAGCCAAAAAGGGAAACTCAAACTGGAAACGCTGGCTGCAGTCTGGGCACAAAAAGGGTGA